TGATAAGGTGCGGATCAGATATCCCTGAATCGGAAGATTTTATCAGTCACTGATCAGACAATTCGGATCATTCGGATCATCAGACAAGCAATCATTAAAGAACTGATCCAAAAATCAGGATCAGGACCCACTCATCTCTACCAAGGAAAACCCTCACCTTAAGGTGCAAACCTCAGATCAGGCACAATGAACCCAAGGAATTTAAAATTCCACGCGAAAATGACACCAGCGGGAATCGAACTCACGATCTTCCGCACGCCAGTCTGACGCCTCAGTCACTCGCCCATTACGACCTGATGCCAGGCTATTATAAAATCGGTGATTTATACCGGAGATCGATAGATGACACGTGCGATCTTCGATATCACTCGAGATAATCGAACAAAGAGACTGCTGTCACCGACTCCGGGAAGGGCGCCGTTACTTGACTCCTGGGCTGGACATCCGGTCTTAATTCCAGCCGATAAATCACGAGGACCATTAGGAAAACATAAAAACAATGAGTCCATAAGTTGTGATATGTAATGAATAGCGGACGAGGGGAAGATGTTTAATGGTGTTTATTGATTGGTCAATGGCAGGATTATTCCAAATTAATGGAGGCAACCGATTTTCTCATTGTCTCGGCCTGTTACCTCTGAGCTGTGGGAGGGCTCTTGAGTAAAAACATTCAGTGGACTGTGTGATCGTAGCGTGTGTCGACGAAACAATATAGACATGGAGATGTGAAACCCCACGAGGAACGTAGGCGTCGCGTGGCAGCAGTGTTGGGTGACAGCATTGCCACACGCCGTGCACACCCCATAATACACCGGAGTGAGAATGGGAATATTGTACGGGTGGCACGCGTTCATCAACCATTCGGGTACAACCCCCTCGATCTAATGGAATTGTTGATTGAAGAGGTTCGCATGAAACCCACCTGAGACACCGGTCAATGCATTTTTCTTAAATTACCACATAATTGGGTTTAATAATTAACTTCTTGAATCAACATATTTATCGATTTTTTAACTACTCTGGATTGAAATCTCATCAATAATATTACCAGTCAAAATATTATAATATAAATATATCCTTTCCCGAGGCTATTAGCTCGAAAAATATAAAATATTAATTCTGGGAATACAAAATGAAGGCAGAATAAATGGCATGTGTTGGAAAAAATGATTAAAATTATTAATCATTAAAAAATGAGAAACAAAAAATGAAGGTAATGGAAGGAGTGACGGGGGAAGTCAAATACTTTAATAAAATAATTTATAATGTTTCTGTGGTTCAGTGGTAGATATAATTTTTATAGAGGTTGCTCAAACAACAGAAAATATAGAATAGTATGAATTTCAATTAATCCCAGTGGTGTATATACTCCCTTGCTCGTGAATCCGTCGTCCACGGGGTGCAGTATTATCGAGATTGGTTCAGCGCTTTGCCAGAGGCTCTCCACCTGAACCCTCTCGTTTCCACCCCCTCTGTTTCTCTATCCCATTCCTCTTTGCACCACCCAATCACACCGCTAGCCGCTAAGTGCGATCCATTAAGCGTAATGGAATGCACCAATTATAACATTTGCTGAATAATTGGCGACCGCTCGGCAGTGCTCCAACCGTATTGAATTGGTACATACTTTGCAAAAAATAGCATTCAGGTAAAATAAAAATGATGGATGAAGGATTTTTTTTTTTTTCGCGTAGTTGAAAATTGCGGATGAGTGAGTTTGGAAAAATGCTCGTGCACGATAACTCGAGAGCGAGAGCAAACATCAAATAAATCACTAAATTTATTCTCGGACAAATATACCTCTCTTGATATATTCGGTGAAAAGCTATAGCTCCAACTCTTCGGCAATATTTTTTTATACTGCCAGTACAATTTTTTGATTTTCGACAATTTTTTATTAACAAAAATAATTGGAATTTAATATTTAACGCTGAATCGTTCTGTTATACAGAGCATGAATGAAAGATTCATCTTCGTCTCGATATAACATTGATCAAACTAGATTAATTATTCAATGGGATTTAAAATTACGCCATTATGACCGGATCATTCAGGTTGGCATCAGTTCTTGGATTGATATTTTGGAGCCGTCGAGGAATGAATAACATTTCTTATCTCCAGTAATTACCGATTTTTTCCGAGTACTGAGAGTATATAATTTATTTTTAGACACTCAGATAAATTCTAAAAAGCCCAGCGCAGCTCTACTATACCTTTAGAGTGGAAAAGTGGATCTGATAATTGAAAATCATTGCGGTCCTGATCCCCTTAGCTCCAGCAGACAGACGATAAATTCACTCCAATCCCTCCAACACTCCACCGGGACAGCGGCAATATTCCCACATCTCTCCAAAAGAAATTCCCACCAAAAACCATTCCATTAGCGTTAACAATAATTCAAGTGAATATTATTCAAGAATAGAAAAAAAAATATAATAATGATTTCTCTTTCTTTGGAGAGCCGCAAAGTGCTCGTTACTTTGTCGTTAATTCAATCAGAACTGGCGACCGGAAGAGGCGACTGCGTCAGACATGACTGAGGAAGAATAAGGAAACGTATTTCCACACGTTCACCCTTTACTCCACCCTCTCCACCCTCAGTGCTTTGACATGCAAATTGTCTGACAATGAATTTCGTAAAACCTTTTACGGTTATAGTGCAAAAAGGATATGAACGAAGAAAAGGGGATGAAGTGAGGGAGAATGGAGGGACAGGAGACGATTGTGGGTTACCACTGTAGAGTGGGTGGAGTCTGATACAAGAGGGAGTCAAGAAAGATTGAGTCAAGTTAAAAGGAGGTGGTGAGGATAGAAGACGAAACGACTGCGAGACGACGTTTTCGTATTAATCACTGTCTGCTGGCATCGACTTTGCCACTACGTCAACCGTCTATTCTCCATTTTCATCCCCTCTTTTGGGTATTTTACTCTTCGACTGGTCCTCTCAATCAATTCATTCGGGTCGTCTCATGCTGCTACACTCAATAGGTCTCAATTCATTAGCGGAATCTTCATTAAAAAAACATTTTTTCCTCTCCTCTCATCTTAATTATATTTTTATCTCGCAGAGAAAATTCGTTCTGAAATTCATTCATCGGAATTAATTGAAATTTATTTGGAAGTTATTGAGATTAATTGAAATTTATTTGAAGTTATTGAAGTTAATTGAAATTTATTTGAAGTTATTGAAGTTAATTGAAATTTATTTGAAAGTTACTGAAATTAATTGAAATTAATTAAACCGAATTTTAGCCAATTGTTTTGTGAAAAGAGATTCACGAAATTATCTGAATTAGCTACCGATTGTTCTTTAACTTTTTAGAAAATTCCGTTCGATTATTTGTCAAGTCACTAATATTTCATTTATCTATTTATGCTTGTTAAAAGATGGAGCAATTTTTAAATACCAATTAATTCTACCCCGGGATTCTCTTTCCATTCATTTAATCCCCCTCATAACGAATAATAATCATTATAATTATTAAAAAACATTTCGTTTCCAAAACCCTTAATCCGACAGCCGACAATTTCCAGATTCAAGACATCAGCGATTCGCCGATAAATTGTTTCAGACATACGCAAATATATTACGAGTTACAAGTCAATGAAGAGTTAAATGTTTGAGGAATGATAATTTCTGGTACAATTGAATTGCAAGTGGAGAACGAAAAGATTGAGTAGTAATGTGAAGCATATCGAAGTACATGTTTAAAAGTCGATGGTCTCTAGCAAAGTGGCCTGGCGCCTGGTTACGTCCCATCTAGAATCTCTCTATAAACTGAAACACTTCAAGGTGAGGTGGAAGGAGAGGGATGAAACAGGAAGAAGCAGAGGAGCTGGTAAGGTTGTAAGACAGACAGAGGTAGGGTAGGGGGATGGAGGGTAGGAGTAAAGCTGGCGAGGTGGCACGGGGGATAAACCATGATGTCGTTGATTAATACGGTTTACCAGTAAGTGTAACGGAGTGTGCAGAACGCTCCTGGCCTCCCCTTCCTTCCTTTCCACCCCTTCCTGCCCCTTCCTCCCCTTTTCTCCTCTTTCCCACCCACCAATTCTCCTCCCTTCCCCCTTCTTCACCCTTCTTCACCCTTCTTCACCGTTCTTCACCCTTCTTCACCCTTCTCCACCCGGTACCTCCTAAAATGCGATTCTCTCCCACCCCGAAGGGGATTCAAGAGGGTTGCCAAGAGAGAGGTATTCAACCCCCACTCAGAAACTAGGGAAAGCCACGTGCCGATCAATGGCGTCTCTCCTCTGATTGGACGAGAAGATGGGCCAACCCCTTCTTGCTGTACCACTCAAACCTACTCCCAGCAAGACCTCCGGTTCTGTGTTTTTTTTCTTTTTGCCAATTTTTTCTTACTCTCTTTTTTTAGGGGTTGGAACGGAGAGGGGAGCTAAGTTCTTTCTTCAGAGAAAGCATTGATTGCCAACAAAACCCCTCACCCGACCTTCTTCCGGTTTCCCTTATTCCCTTTACAATGTTTTACTTTTATTTCAACTTTTTTTTGTCTAGATTTTTTTTCTGGTCCTTCTTCGCTTTTGGGTCTATCTTTTCTAGAGTGATTTCTTATTCTTTACATCTCGATGGCACGCGACAGAATTTGAAACAAGAAATCAGGACTCGATGTAAGAAATAATTTGGAATTGAGGTCAGATTTAAAAATAAATCATAATTATTGCAAAGCATGACTGCATAAGGCCCAGAAAGAAGTTTTTTGGGATGATTAAAGCGATTGAAAAAAGACAGATTAAAAATTTTAAATGATTGAAGATCTTGGATAATTCTCAATCACTTCGGAATGGAATTTGAATCGGAAATTCCTTCAGAGTAATTCCCCCGAGAATTCACCTTTCACAAAACAGAAATCCAACACTCGACTCCAATTCCGATAGTCTCAAAACTTGAAGAACAAAACACCAGACAACTTTCCGATTCACTTTCGCTCTCACCCGGCGTTGTTAAAAGGTTAATAAATCCGAGAGACACTTATCACGAGAACAAATTTATTTAATACAACTACTATTACGTAGAGCTACAATATCATCTAGGTGCATTATTTATAATCTTATGATTTTCAGTTTCTGTGAATCTTTATTGTTTACACTCGCCAATATAGTGACGTTTATCAGACAAAATTATAATACAATTTTCTTGAATTCATGATTTCTGGTAAAATGTGGCAACTAATTTTCACAGATCCCCTAAACTCTTCGTTTACGACGTTCGATTTATCTCAACCCCGTGTCACCACATCAACGCTAAATTGGGATATTCTCTACGACGTCCTTGTTCTTTCAATCACATTTTCCTCATTGTCTACAAAAACCATGATGGTCCTACATTCTCTTATTGATCAGGCACACATAAAAATTTGGTCCTGATTTAATCCTCAACTTCCTTATCCTGTAATAAGATTAAACAAGGAAGTACTTGAACGTTTTTTCTCTAACCAAAACATTGAATAGGTAGTGTCGACGCGCCATAAAATTCCACAACGAATTGACAATCCTGACAGTCAAAATTCTATGAAAAACAAAAAAGAAAAAGAAGAACAATAATGTCCACGTGTTAGTCCGCTCGACCTACAGCCTCTACAAATATTTCATGATAACGAGTAAGAGGCGAATTCACATCACAGTGAAAGCATTTGAATTATTTACGGATCCTCTTTGGTACTGGGTTGAATTTGGTGAACAACGCTTGGCAGATGATGATGTTCGGGCCGTCTCGAGAGGCCAAGTAATGGTGGAAGAAGTGGTAAATGCAGGGGCAGTGGTAGACCACCGGGAAAAGCAGCTAGACCTCCAAGGAGGGCAGTTGCTGTTGAATGCTCTTGTGCCTTTCGTCTCAATTCAGCAAGACTGCTTGTCCTATGGAGATCACCACTTCCAGGTTTGCAGCATCCACAGAGTGAACCCGGCCAACCAGCTGGTGCCCATGACAGCATGTCCTGAAGACTACTAGCTCGATGATCACTCGTTGTCCAGAGACTTGGGCTCGCTGATGTCAGAGATGTTGACGTTGAGCCGATGATTTTGTTGCTAAATAGAGGTGGTGAGAATTGGGCTGCCAAATGGGGTGAGAAGAACAGCGTAGTCGGTGGCTCGACTGGTCTGAAACCGGTGCCTGTCATGCTGCAACATCAATGATCAACCATTAATTCCGTTAATACCGATCTACATTGATTAATTAATTCATCAATTGGTTTTGTTGAATCCTCAAGGTACACCACCATAAAGGGCGGGTTTGAGCCTCTCATTACGACCAATATTAATCTCGAATATTGTTTGATTAATGCTCTTTGCTTAGCGATGTGGAGAAGCTGTGTGAGCGGAGGATTGGCAATCAGGATTGAACCAACTTCTGGATGGAATTTCGTGATGATGGGGTGGAAAAGGGTGGGAAAGCCTCAAGAGGGCGGAGATAAACCCGAGTATCCGAGTAAGTGCGATAATTAACGGCAATTAGATGCACGAAACTATCAGCCAAGCGGGTTTACAAGCCACATGGTTGTAAGATATATACGTATATAGTATTCACATGAGATAGAAATATATGTATTGGTGTGTTACCCCAAGGGGCACTGGATCCGATTACGATACTGCTTAGCTCACGCCTGATATCGCTATTTCCAAACGTTTGCACACCACCACTTGATTTCCAGGTGATTGTCAAACTGTCAAATTGACAAATAGTCGAATTGATTATCAACGTGAACCTAGTAGCCTCTAGGTAGACGGAGCTCAGTGAACGGTCATCACCCATTCGATTTGACCTCTCGTAAAATCAAATGGGAATAAAGGAAATTTCAACAGGAAGAGAGACTATCCTCGGAAGGATGTACTCAGACATTGAAATGGAACATTTTTCAAGGAGGTACCCATGTGTAGCACCCAGCCCAGACTCCGAGAAGCCCCGAGCTCCTCAATTCAAGGGAGGATGAACCCCTTGAACCCCTTCTCCGTCTTACTACTTTCCCCACCATGTGCCTCAAGCAAGACTTCCAGGAGAAATCCTGAATAACTTATGAGGATATATTTACGGTGAGCGGTTTTAAATAAATTACAAACTGGTGGAGACGACCGAGTAAGGAGTACGTCCCGGCAGCCATCCCACCCTTACCCATCTCCTTCCTCATTCTTTTCAAACTTTTACTTTTTCAAATTCATTCCTTCTACCCCTGAGTGAAACCTTCCAACCATTATACTTTTGTTAGCTTTCGTTTTGAGACAAAGGGTACACATTATAAATTATTAGTGAATCAGAGTAAGTGAAGAAATGGGGGAATCCCATCGATTCAGTGATAAGGATCATTGGGATATGATACAATCCCCACCAGATATCGCTGACTTGATCAGGAGAGAGAGAAAACAAAAAAAGGGGTTCAAGTGAAATGGAATGAAAGAGGTCTGTTAAATGGTGTGTGTCGAGCATCCGGAATTGCTCGTTTCATTCGTCGGACAGAGGCGAGCCAAGCGTTTCTCAGCTGGGGCTGGTTGGTTTGTAAATGCCGTGATATTTCCTGAAGACGTAAATACGTAGTGGACTTGAAAGCAATGTACACTTGAGTTGGCGGTCCTCGGATCCTTGGGACCACCAACTGGGTGATATCTAGCGTTTACGGAGGAAGCATTCTATGGTACCCCCCTCTGTGGTTAGTGGCGATTTAAATGTAAAGGACAAGGAACTCTCATTTTCATTTTTCGTTGTAGAACGACGGGGATAAATAGGGTGCAATAGTGTTGCTAACCTCTCAGTGGGCGGAATCAGACTACCACCAGCTGTGCTGACAGGCAGTGGCGCCCTCGGAGGCGTTGGCGACGGCGTCCCTGTACCACCGATTGATGGTTGACTCTGGGACTGCTGTGGACGGGGACTCACTGAGGCTGATGTTGTACTCGGACTTCTTGACCCAGTGCCCACTTCTTGACCGTTGTCCTCACCCTCGGCACTACCCACCTCTGTGTCGTGGTGATTCGTCGGAGAGGGACCGCTCGATGATGATGGCGGCAAACCTTCTAGGGTACCCGATGGTCCGCTACTACCGTCACGTTTTCTTTGCTCTTCTTTCAACCGCTCGCTTTTACGCCATTTCGCTCGACGATTTTGAAACCATACCTGAAAGTCAATCATTATTTATGAATCCATTGATGAATACAAGAATTTATTTATTAAAATCAGATGATAAACAAAAGGTATTAAACTAGCAGGAGAAAGAGATCGATATTATTATCCCGTAAAATCACTTCAGAGCACTTTGGAAGAATGAAAATAATAAATAAATTATAGAACAAAATTAATCCTAAAAATCTACCGGTTGAACACCGAACTTTCATGGAAGTAATGATCAAGTCTCAAATGTCTTTTTACGACTGAAAGAAAGGGTTTTGATGTGATAATTGGATACTGGGCTTGTCACTAACAAGTGAGAGGTGCGACCGAGTGTCAAGTGAGAAAAAAGGGACATACACGATGTAACGGGTGTGGCGCATGTTCAACGAGCCAACACAACCGACCAGCACCAGCCCCGAGTGCTTTTTTTTTTATCACTTCTGCTTTTTTCCCCGCACGAAAAGTGTGTCTCGAGTCGCACTAATGAGACTAACTTGACATAATGCCAGGGATAGGATTTAATCGCGGCCTCTACCGCGAGCATCAAGAAGACGAAAGGCAAATAACAATATTTACGATATCATTTTGAATTTTTCCGCGTCAAAGAGGTTTTTGTAATGTTCGTCGCAAAATGGTGGGACTGTTTTTTAATATAATAAATGCACGGGCGGATGCTCTGCGATATGGACGGGAGTTAAAGTGGGAAAAGAACGACTTGTGGGGTGCCAGGAGGCATAATAATATTCTAAGGGTTTTCCCGGCGCGTAATAGCCAGGAACAAAGCCGCATTGCCTGCCGCTCGGGGATTCCCCTTGAGTATCCTCCATCTATCTTCAACTTGAAAATTAACGACATTCCATTTTTATCAATACGAGACCGAACGCGCCCTGTAATTATCATAAAAATCATAAAATCATGATTGAAAAGTTTATCACTAAATAAGTTCTTCAAATTAACCGCCTCAGATGACTCAACCAATGAGGAATGAGTGTGACAGACTTTCGAGATATCGATAGTCTCGATGTTTCTCATTTTAGAACAGGATGAACTTAGCCTCAAGCTGAGAAATCAAATGAACACACTCGTCCCACAATTATTTAAATTCCGTCTTTATCATTATAAAAACAGATGAATTGATCAATTAATTCATCCACAAAACTCAATTAAAGTCTGAACAGTTATTTAAATAGTTCCTAATTATGAGCCTTCCTCAATAATGCCCATTATTCTGATAAATTACAATCAATAACTCGATGACAGAAAATTCTTCCGCGACAGTTTGTAGAATTGCCTGATTCTGATTGCAGTAAAATGTGATATGGGATCGTCACCCTTGAACGTGCCCTCTCGACAATCCTTCCACTTATGATTGAAGTGTATATAAGGTAGACAAATGAGAGAAAAGGATGATAGACAGAGATGGAATGATGGTAAAGTGGAGGAGGTACTACATAAACGCTCCTATTTGTTCATTATTCCAGATTCCCTTTGTTTCTTCGTAATGAAACAATGAGTCTGCGCCGTAATTGCGTCATACTCGAGGAAGCCCCTCTTTTCCTGGTAGTTCACTCGAGTTCTCCCTCGCTTTTTACTTCTCCCGTTTATTTTTTTTTTCATTGGTATTGTTCCCTAGCCACAGGTGAAAGACAATCAGTGAGATAGGAATACGAATATCCTGACGGCCATAACAGCTTTGGGCAATGGTATTTATATTTTTAATATGCATTTTTGGTATTACCATTTTCTGAAGTTAAATGAGAATTAATTATACAACTGAGAACTGTAATCCCTGAGATTACCGGCTCATGGTACAGATTACGTCACTTTTTCAGGTTAAACACGTGAGAGAGAATTGCACGCAGTTAGGATGATCCCTCACCTGGACTCTCGCCTCTGTCAGGTTTATCTTCATCGCCAGGTCTTCACGTGTGAAAACATCGGGATAGTGGGTCTGAGCAAATGCTGATTCAAGTTCTTCTAGCTGTTGGAGGGTAAATGTTGTGCGATTTCTTCTCTGCTTTCTCCGGACGAATGAGTCCTCACCGACTCCGTGGAGGGCTGGATGATACGCCGAATAGCTGGTATCTGGATAAATAAAAAAAAATGATAATGTTTAGTGATATGTCCAGCGCAAATAATTGGAAAATCCAGCAATTTCCTCCGTGCTAGCTCTCATTACTCCATTTCCTCATTATCAACTTCCTCTTTCCCTCGGCATTCAGAAAATCTGGGGAATCCCCTGAACCTTATTATCCATCTCCCCCTATGAATATCAAACACAAATTGATGTGTAGGTTTAAGCGGCTAGATTCAAACGTTAAATCGTAAAATTCAATCACTCGAAAACAAGTGCATTAATTAATCAGTGCTCAATGTGAGTGTAGGGAATTAGTGGGAGGGAGATGGAACTAGTGCATAATGCAAAAACCCTTTACCTCCATTAATACAGAACGCATTATTTAATGAGTAAAATATGTTTCGAATGGAAATCTGTCATCACGATGTAATGAGTCAATAATTATGATCAATTTATGGGGATAACTGATGATATTCATCTGCAATCATCACCTTGATGATGATTGTGAATAAATAGTGAATAGTATCAGCTAATCTGATTAACAGCCACGGCGGGCAATATTTTTAGTAATAATTTCTATGTCTGTTGTAAATTGAAAAAAAAATTCCTGGTGAGAATATCAAAAAGATGTTAGAATCATTGAATTATCGGTGAAAATATCGTAATGAAAAAATTGAATTTTTAAAAATAATCAATAATGTTTATCCCAAAAGGATGACAATCGCATATAATAATTTTTTGTTAAATTAATTGATTTCGTTTTCAATAATTAATTTTCCTGTTTTTCCCATTTTCAATTTACAAGTGAATTATTATTACTATAAATATAATATTGCCTCAAAATAATTATTTTCGTTCTCAATAATTAATTTCCCAGTTTTTCTTTTATTATAAATATTTTTTATATTTATTTATATTTTATATTTTATTATTATAAGATTATAAATCTACCACGTGTTAACAACAAATAATATCGACATTATATAATAATAATTGTAATAATTATTTGCGTTCTGAACGAAGAACTTCACAATTTTCTCGATTTTTCAATTGATTGGTAAACAACTATTATAAAAACGGTAATTTCTAAAATATACATCTCTCCTCCTAGCACCCTGATTTAAAAAATCGAATGATTCTTATAGAATTATTATAAATCAACTCCTGAATGCGTCTGACGATTTTCGGGTTGTGAATCTGGTAGCGCTCGATAGCGTGACACGATGTTTGATTTTCAATGTTTCTGATTCAGTAATGGGATACTAATTGGCCGAGATCACCTCGACAAGGATAAATCGAGTCTTGTAAACCCCCTCTGTACACTGAGTATTGCATGGGAAACTGGTAAAGCCAGAGGTAGTGGCTTTGAAAGCTGGGTGGTATAAAGCAAACTAGGCGAGATGGAAAGGGGTTGGGTGAGTGAGTGAGACAAGGGGTAATGGAATGAGAGGGAATAAGTGGGTGGGGGGGAGGGAGGTGGGTGGGTTTGAACATGGTTGCCTGTAAAGCGCACCAAGCGTTCATCAATGATTCAGAGCAATCAGCGCAATTAATTACCACGGCACTAAGCCCGCAGGATCAGCGGGAATTAAAATGGTGGACGAAAAAAAAAAAAAAATGTTCGAGGGACCAAAAAAAACATGGAAAATTAATTTCCTAAACCGATGGAAATTTTATGAGTGGATTTTTTCATTGGAAATTCAATTTCTCATCCACCGCTCGTTTTTCAATACCTCAATTCCCTCTGGAATTTTGGTGGACAATTATTTTCATGATAAGCCAGATCTTACGGTGGGGTAAATAAATTTTCCATTTCTCTATCCAACTCCCGCAAAACTGAAATCCACTCAAGATTTTAGATTAGAGTTTGGTAGCAAAGCCAAGGACCATCCCCATACCTTCTCATCGAGTGTAGGAGGAAAAACCCGGCCAGGACTTGATCCAATTTATTAAGAAAAAGGTGGAAGGGAAACTCGAGAATCCAGAGAGAGAGGGAGAGAGTGAGTTTGTGAGATATACCGTGAATTCGATTGCCAAGAAGTACGATAGCACGGGATTTCGTTACTCGATCATCCCAGATAAATAAAAATAAATTTGACATAAAGTTTTTTTCCAGGCCAGCCATCTCCATCAGCATCACGGCGCTGGTTATTTTCCTCGTGTGTTTTCCTCATGTATTTTTCTCATGTATTTTTTTCATGTGATTTTCCCGAGCAAAGCTGCGCCGAGAAAAAAATATTGAGGTGAGGATTCACCAGAAGAAATTGTTCTCAGTCCACAAGGAATAAAATGAGAGGGATAAACCCGAGGTTAGTTGGAGTACGTGCTCTCGATGATGTACTTCACCCTTTGAGTTGACAAGTTGTTGTTGAATATTTGACATGTACATGGTAACATGTGGTGGTAACAGGCAGGGTAGGTATGCTATTGAGAATAATACTGATCCTTACGTGTTTGATTATCAGGGCGAATTGATGAGCTTGCAGAGTTGCTGGTGGAAAAACTACACGTAACTGGAGCCAAATCTAATGACACCCGGACCGTCACTAATGACTCTAACGAGGTAGTTAGATGTTGTAGACGAAGCCGTTGGCTGGTGGAAGTGGTGGAGGTGGTGGAGGTGGTGGAGGTAGTGGAGGTGGTGGAAGCGGTGGAAGCGGTGGAAGCGGTGGAAGCGGTGGAAGCGGTGGAAGAGATGGGAGAGATGGAAGAGATGGAAGAGATGGAAGAGATGGAAGAGATGGAAGAGATGGAAGAGATGGAAGAGATGGAAGACGAGGAAGACGAGGAAGACGAGGAAGACGAGGAAGAGGAAATTTAGACAGTATATGAGTGTATGAGTATATAAAGTACATGATTGTGTGAATGCATGAGTCGGGGGTCCAGTGGTAGGTTCTCTGGACCGTGGGCCGAGTGAACCCACTTACCGACTTATCACGTAGTTACCTAATCTGTTTATCCCGGTGGGGAGGAATCAGACGACGAGGGGGAGACTCTTCTCTCGGGGGGCACCACAGGGGGCTTTATCCACTATCAACACCCCAACTATGACAACTGGTTGTCTAGTTCATTTGGCAATAATGGATACTGACAAAATTGAGTTACGACACTCGAAAAAGATATTAGTTTATCCGATCACTAGAATTCTGACTGCATCTCCAGGGCTCCAGATGAGCTTCAAAGGGAATTTCATAATGACTTGTCATTTACCTAATAATTCCCATGGGCCAGCCGAAACTCTTCAATTACGAGCTCATCAACAAATTATTGCAAATATTATTGCAGGCTTTTTATTTTTCATTTTCGTTAATTCGCGAGTCAATTTTTCATGGACATGAATACATTATACGTTCGATATAACATCCACCCGGGAAAAAATTCAAAGGCCAGCGATCTTTCTCTCTCTCTCTCTCACTCTCTCTCCCTCTTCCTCTCTTGTAATATATATATCGTACGTGGCCATCAAATTTATAACTCGTTTTACGTTTTTCAATTTTCCCGGGCGGCCTCTCCTCTCTCACCCTCGGCTAGCGCAACATGCGTCACGTTGAATTTTCAACCCAACGGTTTCGGCATGAACCGCTTGAACCATTCAGTACCCCCTCCTGTCAATATTTTATTCAAACCGTACATTTCTTAAAATCATATACCGAAAATTGGTACACCGTGTGCATTGTAAAAATTGAAAAATTCAGAATGATGATCGATCAGTTACAAAGGGGAGTCCCATCTTGCAGCCCCACTGTATCCTGAATTATTAATCATCATGCCAGGAAATGGCACTTGTGATAAATTATGCGATTATCTGTGGCAAAATATGACACGGTTAGTCAAATTGGTTTAACAGTACTTCACAACTTGATACTTGTGTCATGATATCAAGTACAAAGGGTACTCTGAAGATTGTTGAATTTATTTGACCAATTGTTTATCACTGGACAATGAATTATACAAAAGAGAATAAATCATTGAATTCCACCAGTCTAATCGTTTCCAAGGGATCCCATTAGTTCTCACCTCCAACAATATTGAATTTCTGTTTAAGTTAAAATAATACGAGTCAAAAATTAAATCGCCCATTAAATACCATGAATTCCTGTCATTAACGAACTCGGTAATGAGCTAACGAGCCCAGTGCAATCTCGGTTTTATCAAAAATCATGTCACACTCGCCTCGATTCGCATTACAAAATATTCTCATAACTTCTTCACAGTTGCATTATTCCCTGACATTATTGTATCACTTGATGACACTATCTGATAATCTGGGCGACAACGCAAGATACGAAGAGATGTTTATCCGATGCTATTGGTTATTCAACTGCAGCGTCAACGGAGCGTAGCACACGGATAACCACGGAAGGACCCAAGTTGAGTTAGTCAAAGTGTCTAGATCAACGGCAAAAGCTCAAGTGATTTTCGGGCGGCCTGGACAACCGGTAAATTCGCTTTTCCAGTTGATTTGTAAATAGAAAAGTTTGGTACATAAAAAAGTTGAGAGAGATACTTACATGGATGAGTTGGTGCAAAGGTGTACTCCAAGGTGGGTGGAAGTCGGGGGGCCGGGAGTCCAGGAGGGCAGTGATAGCAGAACATACTGCTAGCCCTAGCTGCGACACTTGGGGCACTTCCCGGCCCCCCACCTGGTGATCCAGCACCCGCCACCGGTGTCGTTGATTGCGGTGACGTTTGATTTAGACTCGGCAGGTGGTGGTGATTAGATGTCTGATGTGTATGAAGGGATCCAATCTGAAAGGATAAAATGCACAATGTATTGAGCTCCATCGAATTCCCAGTGAAACTCAGGGAGTCTACTTCCACCCCCACAACTCCATTAACGACAGAGGGATTGTAAAGCCGCGTGAATAATTAATACGGTGTATGGCACAAGTTTGCTATACCTCTTACGCAGCCATGGTAAATTTAATAAACCGGCCCGCCAGTGTCTATGTCATTAATTTGTCATTGGAGTTTGTCTCACTTGGTCCATATTTCAAGGTATAACGATACTAGGATGGAGACTGTCATATTCTAAAGGGATTATCATATTCTGAATGCTGTGGATTGGTGTTTATCGTTTGGAAGCTAGTACGAGGGTGAGTTCTTCTCGATGAGGTAATTTTTTACTTTATTTTTATGGTCTATGTGTGTTGGTGGGACTTTCTCCTCGTCTTTTGCCTATTGGCTGCATGAAAATCTCTCTCACTTGCACTGATATGGGCTGCGGGTACTCGTTATGTATACGGAGAGGGACAAATTGAATTTTAGATCATGGCGTGCCTCGGCGAGGCGTCCAGGGACGTACCCGGGAGATACGAACCCAACCGAGATGATACTAATTGAAATTTGAAATTGATATTAGCGGATTATTATCCCTGGTATGTCTCTCTCTGTCTTTCGTTTGGTGGTTGTGATGGTTCAGGTATAGATGTGGTGGAACTCATTTTACCTTGGCTGTCTCACTTCAACGCTCGAGAAAAGTAATTACCGTTGGGCCGCGTGTCGGATATCAAAAGTAATTGCTGGGCGAAACTTAACGAAATTTTGTCAATTTTCGGGACTGAAGGGTGGGCTCTCGATGGGAGTTAACCAGCTCCCTGGTGGTGGGGCTAAATGTCCTGGGGCCTGCAGTCCTTTCAATTATGCACTAGGGATTCACTTTTCCATTGAAGATTCTCACACTTTTGGGAATAAATTCATTCTGATTTTTAATCTGTACCATTTCAATTATTAAGGTCGACCGGTTGTTATTGAAATTGAGATTACCATAATTAATACTAACAAATGTTGCAACTATTGAAAATTATTTTATTACTATCAGATTCATGTCAAATTAAAATCTTCCCAAAATTCATTTTTTTATTATTTAATGTCATAAATTTCCATTCGATGTACATTACAACCGATTATCCCCATTATTTATTACCGAATATTTTATTCATCCCTTCACATCCCTCGAAACATTAAAAAATGATACAATTTTTGCTCGTCCATATTGCCCTAGCATCCCTTAATCCTTTAAATCATTTAAACACAAAGAATTGTTTAAATTTTCAAACATTACCCAGGGATTGGACCGGAGACATGAAAAATTTTTCTTGGGATTAGTCTTATGGTTGTGAAAAATTGGTAGACTCCCTTGACGAAAATCCTCAGTAGACCATGGGGGAGAAAAGATTACGAGACCACAATGCACTGGAGTAAAATACTACGAGGGGGGCTGCCTCGTTGGGTTGTAAGGGGGAGGATGGGGAGGATGGGGAGAAGGGGGTAATGATCGAAGAAGGGGGTGAGTACACAGTTGTAATACAATGTAAATATGGAGGTGGCGCCGTTATGAGTAGCTGCGTGGTTTAACACATGAGGAACATACGCATCGACAGAAGGGATGAAATGTAGCGAGGCTAATCCATCCACTTTCGTCTACTGAGGGGGTAAATCTGGCTTGAGGGCACCCCGTCGTTACAGGGCATGTGTGGCATGTGGTCTGCGGTACCCAACAGTTCATCAATGGATTCGATATACTTTGATGGCTGTTTGCTTATTGACACTCGATTCCAAAACCTGTCTCGCTGAGATTTATCCTTTGTAATCCCTCGTCTCTCAATTTTTTTTTACGTTTTTTTATACGATTTTCATCATTTTCTAATAATTTAATTTAATTTTTTATTTTTTTTCTAACAATTTTATTTTATTTTAATTTTTTTTCTAATAATTTCATTTTATTTTAATTTTTTTTATAATAATTTCATTTTATTTTAATTTTTTTTCTAATAATTTCATTTTATTTTATTTTTTTTTCTAATAATTTCATTTTATTTTATTTTTTTTTCTAATAATATCATTTTATTTTAATTGTTTTTAATAATCGTAAATGTAACCAATTAAATTGGTATTTCATTTTATGTGGATAATCACAGGAAACGCTCGACTCCGAATTGATTTAATCGATTTATTTCAATGATAAATTGTTAATTAAGCATCAGTAAAGTAGATTGATGAGTTTATTCAACGGGGAGGATAACAATAAACAAAATGCAGGTGGATATTTTTAATTCATTGTTTTGAAAATATAAATATGGAAAATTTATTCTGATTTTTTTTGGAACCGGGGGAGAGACTGGATTATCTCATGTAGATCATTTTTTTCTAGCTACTCCACCACTCATGAAAATCATTAATTAAATAAAAAATTGCACTTTACATGTGACACCACGTTCCTTCCATAAATATTTATAAATCAGTATTTTATTTATCCAGTAAATATTCATAAATCCATAATCTCTATATTATCAATATTCTCATTTTCTGATTTCAATGATTTTTTTTATTTAAAAAATTTGTAAGATTCATTTATCGATATTGATTAATACAAAATTAATATAAAAAGAAATCTAAATAAAAAATAAGAGCCGTCTTTCTTTTTCTTTATTTCTCATTAAAGAGAAATTTCGAAGGAATTAATCATAGCCCCAACGGCTTGTGTAACTAGAATAATTCTCGCGTGACAGATTAAATGAAATTCAATTCGAGGCATTTTACTCCAGTTGAAATTCTTAGAATTATATAAATAGTCGGAATGCCCCGCATAGGTTTAAATTAAAAAAATGGCGTTGAGTAGAGAAATCAAGCGCGGGGCAAACATGAAGAAAGCATAAGCATTGCTCACGAAAATTTTATTAAACTGTGTCATCCTACGCATGAGGGTTAACGCGATGCATCAAATTTGTGGCGCTTAATTAATTACCATTGCCTCTGCCAACTAGTTACCATTGGCCTGTCTCGGTACTAGCCAAACTCCATATATGTATTACACACGGATGTACAAGTACTTTACAACCACTTGTATATATACCAGAAAGCGCCGACGCAAACGCCACTTATTGGCCCTGATGAAATCTTCGTTAATCTCAACTAACTGAATTGATTTATATTAATTCATTGTTGGTTTCATTCAGTCACTCAATTCGTCTCACTGACTCATTTCACTTGCGTTTAATTACGGAATTATTTGATCCCGGAATTATTCTATTATTATATGAGAAAAAAAATTGTGTCAGCTGTTTTGCTCTTTGCGGTGATAAAAAATATTAAATCAATCAAACTCGCTAATAAATTAAACCCTCACAGCGAGATTAATCAATAAAATAGTACCATTGATGCTCATGAAGACAAATGAAACAAAAGTGACGATGTAGATGATAAAAAGATTATTTCAAAGCTGGTGGTGAGAGATTCAGGACGCGCGTGATCGGTGCAATGGGCACATAACCCGAACAAACAAAGCCAATTAGGTAATTATCTGTTTTAATTGGAATTCGTGACATATATTCTTGGATATGGGGTGACAAAGCTTGTGGTTACATCTGATTGTCTTATTATTGTTATCATTGTTGTTGGATTATTCCAGAGTGACGTAATTTTTTTTTTATGCGGCACTTTGAAGACAATTATCCAATTAATACCGGAATTACTGGAGTTGTGGATAAAAATCTGTTGATGGGAATTTTATTTTAATTTTAATTTTCGTCAATTATGATGTCTTGATTGCTATCGAATTTTGTTGACATGTTCATTTGTCATTTTGGACAATGGAAAATAGTCTGGAGGAACAAATCATTGGGGATCTGCATAATCAGAGTCATGATGAGGTAGTGGTTCGTATGAGTGTTCTGAGGCTTGTCATATGGCACTTGGGGATTGTCCGGGTGATTCGTTACGATGAAATTTCTACCATTCATCCCCCTGAAAGCCGGAAGCGATTGCCAGCCCTCGCGATGCGTTACGTAAACGCTATTCTAGATGGCTGAGAGCTTTCTAATGATTCGACTCAATGGAATTCAAGTCAGCATCATCAATGCAGTCAAGAGCTTTTGGTGAGTGGGATCAATAAAAATTCACCGGCAAAGAAAATTATTTACGCCAAATATCCATTTGCAGAGAATTATTCGCGTCTCGACTGTCATACACTGAGAGAAATATTCAATAAAAATTACGTGGATTTTCCGTAATTCTGGAGCGAAATGTGGTTGTCGGAAATTTAACGGAACTGTCACATAATTTTTATCTAAAGTCACGGAATTTTTTCGCGGTGTTCCGTCATTTTTATCTGAATTATCGGTAAAAAATAACGATACCGTCACTTAAATTTT